CTGTGCACTTCTGTCTCCTTGTCCTTACTTTCAACCATATAATCAAGTGCACTTTATTGCTGTCATGTCTGCATAGGTCTGACTATGTTTTTAACTTGGGCTTCATTGATGTTGAGAGACTTGATACTGTGGAAATAAAGCATCAGGGATTTGGAAATGGGATGGAAAAGATGATAGATTACCTTTTAGAACAAAGAGAGTGGCTAAATAGTTTATAAGAATTTGACTTGTAGCCATGGTTTAGTAATAAGAAAACTATATGAACAGTAGCAATAAAGGTTAAATCAATTTGTATGCCACATTTGTCACTGAAATATATATCCTTTAATATAAAGTTGGCATCATCAAGTCTAAATTTCCTGTCAAAAGCAATAGAGATTTCAGGATAAGTCTTTCATTTTAGGCCTTTCTATAAGTCAGTTAACTTTCTGCTTGAATTCATTGGGAAATGTTTCATGAGCTTGTAAAATTGAATAGTAAAAGTGCAAAAAAATTCATTTAATATCTCCACATTGGAGTATGTGTTCTACCAAATGATTAAGACTGCAGCTGCAATTATGACACGGCTGTAAAAGGCTTGTTCTTATATTATACACAGAGTGAAATTTAGCTTCAGGTCAAGTGCTTCTGTACTTCCTTGTTCAAACTGGATCCATAATTCATTGCTCATTCATTAAGGCATTGCTTTTTTCAGTTTGTTCAGAATGTCATTTTAAGTCAGCCTAGATTTGGCAAGCAGCCTTTAATGAATCTAAAGTGGCGTGGATTGCTTAGAGACTATCACTCCTTCATGATTTACAAGAGGGAGTAAAGTGATTTCATTTTCTTATACATTTTAATCTGCCCCTCAACTGAGGTTCACAGCTGTTTGCTATGCTTACAGAAACACTGTAGACTACAAAACATGACCAAATGATCCCAAAGCAAATGAAATTTTAGTAAGGTTTTAGTGAGATTGGTTCAAGAATTCCTTGCCAACCTGAGATAATATTGAGAGATTGTACAGAGTATGACAGAATCAACACTTGTCAAATTGTGAGGATAAGATCTTGTTGTGGATACAGTTTTCTGTTCTAAGACCCTGTATACTGCCTTTTGGCCCTATAAACAAAAGGAGCCACATGGTCCATGATCAATTTCAACCAATCAAAGAGGACACCATGGTTTAAAGTGTTCAAACATTTGTTCCCAAGATGCTCAGTTTATTAACTAGGGATGATTATTTGGTGTCACTCTGAAATGAAATAAAGTTTATCAGTCTATTGTTGAGAACCTTGGTTGAGTTCTCAGAATTGAAAATGAGAGTAATCTGATGGAATTTCCGGCAAGAAGATATCTTAGATAGCCACTACTAAAACTCAAAAGTGGTGCTGTAGACCTTTGCAGTCTTTGTACAATAATTTGTAATTTTCTTTTAGAGTGGCCAAAAATAGAATATTGTGACTGTGTTTGTATTCAATATTTGATGTTTTTTTAGATTGGATTTATTCACACAGTATTCCCTTGATCGGCACATTGATCGGCACCTAATTTAGGTTTGGTACAGATTATTAACCATAGTTAATTAGGCCTAGTATTATTGGTCAGGACAGATATTGGAACCAAGGCTACCCTGCTGCAAGGCTTGATCATAGTTTGCATTGTATTAATGGTTAGGGTAAAATATATGCAATACAGTATATGCAATACAATGATCAACAGACACTGTGTGCAATTACGTTGCTTACACTATTGCATATACAAATAGGATGTCTTTATTCAGATGATCAAAATATTGTGAGTGTTAATTATGCAAATTGTATATTTATGGGTGAGCTCTGAGATTTAAATAATAGATTTGACCATGAATCACTTAGCCCACATGCTAGCATGAACCAATGATGTAACCAATAACCAATCAACAAAGTGCTTTGTTGAAATCATCTGTAGCTGAACATGATTCAGCATCCCTGCAAGAGCCGAATGTGAATTTTGGAAATTATTCTCCCATCATTTATTTTATTTCTATCTTGCACCTTGTGCAATATGATATATAAAATGATTTTCCAGTAATAAACCTAAGGATCATAAACAAGATGTAATTTCTTTTTTTTTTCTTATTATTTTTACAAATGATTCAGGATTTTTTATATCCTGTCTAAATATATGCATACACCAGCTTTCACACAATCCTGCTTTATTACATTCTGTGTCATCATACTTGCAATTACCAAGAACAAAGACATGGCATAAAAAAATACACATTATATAAAAAAAGAAATCCACAGGTTAAGTCTGTATGATTATCTGGTAGAAGTATTTCATTTTGCAATTTTGCCCTTGAAACTATATGTTTAATGTGTGCCTATGCTATAAATGTCTGACAGATGAGTTTCATCACTGCAGAAATGAAGAATTAATTTAAGCATGTTAATATGATTGTCTCTAATATCATTCATATTGGCAAAATTTCCAGTTCAGCAGCTGAATATTCTCATATCCGGTGGGACTGGGGAATGCGACTTTTTCTTCCCAAAGAGGCAACAGTAATATTGCATGTCTTTTGAGTTTATGCAAAGCATTTCCCATTTTCCTCCAACAGCACTCACTCAGAGCAGCCATGGCAAATATCATTAAATGCCCTGCTAACACACTACCCCCTCTACACACTCACACATATACACAAACAAACATACGTATAAAACCACCTCTCCCTTCTCTCTACCTATACTCATTTTTCCCTTCTATTTCTTCCTGCCTATCACTCAGTGACAGTGCACGAGGGAAAGGGAGTGCATTGATCTGCCAAAGTGAGCAGCCATTTCACAGGACGAGTCTGTGCAGCGCTGCTGTCCCTGAATGGGAATTGCTCATTTCACCTGGCCGCCTTGCCTATAGCAGACTACTGGGAAGCCCCGCTAGAGAGAGACAGAGGGAGGGGGGTGCAGGAGTCAGGGCCCTGGTCAGGGCTTGGCAGGTGGCAGATAAGAGCTCCTCATGCTGCTCCTGCATGCACTTACCACTGCTGCTGGAGCTCAGCCTCTCTCTGTCTTTCACACACTCGCACACACATACCCATAGCTTTTTCTCCACACATGTGAGGCACTAATAATAACTTTGGCATTCTGGTGAGTCAGCCTTCTTTCCTCAGGCAAGGATAAAAGTAAAACATGGTGCCTTTATTGAGTCTGAAATCACTAACTGTGGAATTCCCAGAACAGGGCTTTAGCCCAGCCTGTATTCTATTCACTGCCAAGATGCCATGTGTCCACAAGATCTAATATTGTGTCCAGAGCAGGTGCTGATAGACTGATAAACAAGCCAGTAAACTATTCATGACATTCACATGGACAACATACAGTAGAGGAAATAGTAGTTCTGTAGATTAAATAATTGGGTAATTTCCATTCCAGTATGGGCTGTGTATCAGCCAGGTGACAAAATAACATTTTCAACATGTACCATGGCCAATTATTGCATTATTTCCAACATCAGATATTTCATATACCAACCTTGTCTGTGCAATTAAGTTTATATACTACTTGTTTTGACAATTTTTTCTGCCTTGTTGGGGTGGACTGTGGATATACAAAGTGCAAAACTGTAGGTCAGAGTTCACACTCTGAGTAAGGATTGCAATATACAATCTCACTGCTAGATGCCTCTACATCCTACAGACTGGCACTTTGCAACATGTAGATACTGTATTGCAAGAGCCGATATAGCCGGGAATACAAATGAAATATTTTGTTAGTGATTGCTTTTATGTTCCGTGTGAACATTTTTCAAATTTGCAGATATGTCTATTAAGGACATATTCAATTTAAACTCAACAATGTCAACAATGGCAGGGAACGGAATTTTGTTCATAAAGCTTACAGAATTTAAAAATGACATTTCATTCAAAATCAATGTGGAGTTGTAAGTCTGAATAAGTCTCCCATAGGTCTTCAATTGATTCACATCATTATCATTCTCATCAAACCATTCAATGACCCCTAGTGTCCTAAAAGGATCTGGATTTGTCATGTTTTTCTACTGGTCTTAATATAAACACCAAAATGAAAATTGCATTAATCTCTTTTGTATCTCGAAACTTTATCAATTAAAACCAAAAGTATCCGTATGGCTTGTTACCAGAATTAAGTAAAACTATAGTTTGTTGTAATTACGATCAAACAACCCTTTAAATAAAGTCCAACCACAATGTGGCATATGATCACTTCAGATTTTTGTTTTAGGATTTTATGCTTTTTTCTCAACATATCATGTCAACCAAATCCGTCACTGCCAAACTTAACTTGCATATAAGTGGAGCCTTCAGCCTTCCGGTATCTGACTCACCTCTCCGACAGCGCCCTACCCACTACCCCTCCACCTCCCCATCCTTCATGTGTCCAAAACACATTCCATCCAGCCACTTCATTCCCCCACTTCATCCTTCACATGTTCTCAAATTTATTTCTCTCTATCTCTCTACCCTGGTCAGCCCACTTCCCTCCCTCCATCTAGCCTATCTCTCTGCTGCTCTCCTTGCTCAGTGACAGTCTCATCACACTCTATCAATCAGGCTTGTGAGGCCCGGGCGCAGTGCAGCACAGCATCGCACAGTCCTAGTCTGGTCCCATCAGTGCCAGTCAGTCTCCCTCACTCTCTCAGTTACTTTAAAAAGGTTTAGGTTGCCAGATATAGTCTGTCCCCCCCTCCCGCCCCCCACCCCATTGCAGGTCAGGAGATGGGAGGGATTGAGCAAGAGTCGAGATTCAGCTTAGCGCTTGATTTGATATCACTTGACATATTCTCCAGCCCTGTCTCTGCGCTCAAAATGGGCAACTTCTCTCTTAAACAAAGACGGATATTTGGACATGTGATCGGCTCGAACCCTTCGCAGATAAATGTGAAAACGTAAAGAAAGCACAGCATGTGGGCGGCCTTGAATTGGAGCAAATGGGAAATGATGCAAAACAGAGGTCAGATCATTCTTGTCCTCAGCTCATCAACTATTCTTTCCAGTGTCTTACCTGCCGCAGGCCTCATCCTGTGGTTGACGTCTCAGGAAAGAGAACTGCATAAGTGAGAAAACAGAGGAACAGGATAGGGATGAATAGCTTAATCAACCTGTTTGTGTGCAGTAAAAGACCGGCTATATCTGCACACTTATTACAAACAACAAGGATCGGCTGCTAAAAATAAAGCACCAGTGAAGTTTACTGTACAGTATTTGCCATAAAAAAACTCTTGTTATGTTGTTCAGTTAATTAGTTAATTTACTCAGACCCATTATGTACAAAATATATAGTAAAGACAGAATACTTGTTTTGCAACCAAATTTCAGCTGAAGGAACAGAAAATTGCATGTGCAGTAGAGAATGACTTAACCACAGTTATCGATTGGCTTTGTGAATTATAATGAAAACAAGTGTAATTACATTTTCCTTTAAGTAGCACAACAAATTAGGCTTGTGAGTTATTCTGGAAGCAAAAAGAGGGGGAAAAAACATCTTACATTTAATGTGCTGGGAAGATTTTCTCAGGCTATTTCCTTGCTAAATGCATTAGCAGATGCTGCTGTGCCCATACAAGCCTGTGGACTAATATTCTTGTAAATGATTAGCTACTTATTTAACCAACAGGGAGAAATGTGCTTTGGGTGGTAACAACAAAAATGAGTTGGGGATAAACATTTATTTATATATTTATTTATTTATTTGCAACACTGGGTGAGCTTTAATTTCACTCATTATCTTTTAAAATGTTTTACTAGGGCTTTATGGCAGTCAAATGAGATGATTAGCAACGATGATTATGAATGTCATGATTACTGTAGTCTCTCTGCCCAAAACTTCTCATTTGTGTTAATTCAGAGTCAATTTTCTGTGTGAATGTTGCTGTTTTTTATATAAAAGCAGAAATGGAAGCAACTCCACATTTAGTTGCATTAAAAGGTCTTCATGGACATTAATAGAAATTTTATCATTTATTTTGAGTGTTAGGGTCCCAACTTGTAAATGGCAGGGTAACATAATTACCCAGGTGAGGATATGGCTGGTTACTAGCCCCTTCAACTTGACTTCATCAGCAGTGTGTTTTGCTAAGTTCCTTGTTATCTGGTTTCTCTCTACACACCCTGTTCATGCTAATGAATCCACAAATTAAATTGTAGAACAGAGGAATATTAGGGCGCCTGCCGTTTTGATGTGGTGAGGAATACTCAATTAGGCTGGATTTGGCCCCCGTAATTATTACATTATAGCTAAGATAAGTGTTCAATGGCAACAAATGCTTTGATGGACGCCATTCTGTAACAAAGGCAACGGGTGAGCAAAGACGAAAATGCCAGAACAGAGGAGCGAAGGGGTAAAAAAAAAAGAGAAAGGAAAAAAAAAAAAGCAAGTGAGAAAGTGACAAGAAAGCTATCGCACGGGAGCCCCTGTCTGCAGCAGCCATATTTCATTACACAGCACCGAAGCTTAGGAGGCAATCAAGCATATTTAGCCATCCTCGTCTCGCCCCCCCCCAAAGCAATTATTACTCCCCAGTTTTTTACTGTGCTTTGCCATGGGGAAAATGAACCGCAGTACTTATCAGCTCAATGCATACACAAGTGACTGGGGTGGAGGACATGTAGGTGTACGTGCACGTGTGAGCAAGGGCACGCGCGGACGCTTGTGTTTACGTTTTGGGGAGGTGTCGGAGGGGAGGGCGGTGGCAAGCTGACCACTAGTGAGCAATAGGTTAGCTTTTTCAATCCCATTAGCTCGGTAACATCAGCACATTTAGGGGCAGCAGGTGGAGCGAGTGGAGATACAGAGATAACCATAAACATGTCACCAAAAATGCATTGTTATTTGCATTCATATTGGAAAGAGCCATATTGATGTGGGGTCAAACAGGGAAGGTGAGGGTTTATGACCTGTGCATAGCTCTGCTGTCAGCAGCTCTGATCTATCGGACCGGCCAGCCTTGTCAGGCTTTACGCCTGATTATATTATCATGGCTGACGATCAATGCGAATGAATGATTGTTCATCCGCAAAGGGGAGTAGAATGAATAAAGCAGAATGCAAACAGTACATTCCTTAGTAATAGAGTGAATGGGAATGCATTTCCCATCCTGAAACCATCTAGTTAAGTGATTTATTGCATGCCAGTGCAATACAAAACACTTTCAAAATACTTTGGCTGTGTCTTGCTCTTTCATTCGGTCGGTGTGTTTTTTGAAATATTATCTAGCGGTAATAGAGTGAAGCAGCAGAACTGTGAAATAAAAAAACAAACATACTTCACTATTCTGTGGGTTTTGAGCAGCTAATGTGCACTCATTTGGGTGGCACAGCCGCCAACTGCAGCATTAGTCCCCATCTGGGGACTTGTGTTTTGGTGAAAGTGCTTCTCCATTTGTGAGACTCTTCAGTTCTGGGCATCCTCCCCAAGCCCATAACTCAACGTCCCTCTATCACTCCCATGCGACTGGCTGTCATAATCATCAGCATTATGCTACCTCAATGGGCCTGATTTACAAGTCTGGACATGGCACCAGCTCTGCGCCAAGGGGTAAACATGAGGCTGTTTGCTACCGCCAAGCCTATTTCTCCCTACTGCATTTAATGGGGAGGAGAGGCCGATATTCATAACAGAAAAGTAGCTTATCAGATCTATGATTTGTTTACAAGACTGCAAATAAAACCCTTTAAAAAGGTGGCAGATATTGTTTAAAATTCTAAATATGAGCTTTATTTTTGGGGTCAAATAAGTACAGAAACACTGCATAATTTAGAATCCAATATAGTATACATGAATGTATGCATTCATCTGGTTTAAACATTTTTATATTACGTACTGTAAGAAAATTATTGAAGGGAGTCAGAAAAGCGGGAGAGTTAAGTTTAAGTTAAGTAAGGAGGTTTTCTAAGCCCATACCTCAGTTTCATTTCTTCCGTGCATCATAAACAACTAGTAATAAATCCGTTTTGAGAAATGCAGGCTTTTTATAGAAGTATATATGTGTGCTAAATATTATGTCTACCAACAAAAAAGTTAAATGTACCCATAACATAATTCAAATTCAAGATGGTCCCAGTTTACTCATTCATGGCAGTAACAACCATTTTGGAATTAAAAGAATAGAGTGATTTGAATCGTCACCTTTTGTTTTCCAGAAATGGGACAATTGATTATCCAATGTTTGGATGTATGACATCGGGGGCTATATGACAATATTACATTAAGACTTTATGGTTTAAATTGGGATACACGGTATTAAATTCTTTGTACTTTGTTTCTTTTAGGTAATTATGTAATGAGTCCAACCTATTCAGTATTACTGTATTATTGTAAGAAATTGGGGGTAGACTATTCGAAAACGGGGCCTTGCTTTTTAAAAACTCATAAGGTTAATCCCCGTTCTCACTTCAATAACTTTCATACAGTGCCTAATACTTAATAATACGTATAATTATTATTTTTTTTTATCAAAAAGAAAGTACCCTTATATTTAGTTAAACATGTAAAAAAAATATGCAGCGTCCACAGAACGTGATTAGATTGTATGAAACTATATTTGCTTCAGTATATGCAGTAACTAGATGGTCTCACATTGCTTTAGATATTGAAATATATTATATTTCATGGTAGTGATGTGTCTTACTATAAGCCTTTGTCTTTGGACTTTGATCATACCTTTTTCACCTTGAGGCAGCACCTGGCCCTTTCCTTAACCCTCTCACTCATTCCATAAGATTATATTAGCCCATATTCATCCACATATTGAGCCTGCTAAATGATAGGCCACATAAATCAATTTTTTATATACACACACACAATAACAGTTATATGCAGCTTCCAAACCGCTTGCTGATAGCTGCCATTTCTTATCACTGCGCTTGAATATAGCACCAGTATGAAAGCACTTTTGCTTGCTGTCTAAATGGAGGAGACTGAGAGAGAAAGGGAATGCATTTTTGTTCAAATTACTTAAGCTGCCTACAAAGCTCTCTGTAAAGCTGCAAAAAAAAATAAAAAATCGCTAAAAAAAGAGGAGAATACTTTGAAAACAGTCTTAATGACATACAATCACTGACATATTACCGTGGTCTTTTTTTCATTCAGTCGTGTGCAGGTACTGTGATTTCTGGTTCTAGATTTTATTTTGCACGTACAATAATCTCATGCTGGTATATGATATATTCAAGAAGCATGCACAAAAAGTCATGCGGCTTTCTTACAACTTCAGGAGAGGTAATAATATCCATAAAGCAACACGCACATATTTTCCTTTGTATTTCCGCCTCTCAAGAAATGTAAGTCTGCCATCTGCGGCATTAATTTGAAACGCCTGATACGTAAGCTAATCAAGCATGTTTATTTTTCCTCTTGTTGAGTTGTAGGCTTTAACATTTGCGAGGAAAATGTGTACGCCGTAGTTAATGAACTGAGCTGGAATGAGTTCTCATAACTGTGAAGTGAGAGCACTGAAAAACACAGAGCACATATCCTCCATCTCTTTTAGCTCATAAGGCAGCAAGAGAGAATTTGATTTTTCTCCAAATGGCATCAAGTGTAGGTGTTACGATAGTAGGGGAGGGCCCATCGGCGGACAGCGTGATGTCGTGAGACCATTTGATAGACAACAGCACAGCAGGACAAAAGAAGAGAGGAAGTGGGATTCAGGACTAGAGAGCCAAGAGACACTTTCTATTTCACTCTCTTGCTCCCAACTGCTCCCAGTGCCAGAGACACGGGCCGCTGCACAGACAGATGGCAGGGAGGTGTGTGTATGTGTGTGCACGCGTCTGATGGGTGGTGACGCCATTCAGCTTTGTACGAGTGTAAGAGATGGAGTGCGAGAGATATAAGAGGAGAAAATGAAGGAGGGGAAAAACACTGCAGAGGTGTGTGTGTGTGACTTTATCATGAAGGAAATAATCTGTGTTCTTTTTTTTCCCTTTTTTTTAAATTCCACATCCAAATAGCTTGTCTACTTCGTTACAGCAGCAATGGAAGTTAATTTGCGCTGTCACTTTGCGCTCACCCGTCATACTGCGCAGGGTAAGCTTTGCAAATAAGGGACCTCTCTGGATGACGAGAGGCACACCTACTGGAGGAACTGTGGGTGTGAGGATGAAGTGGGTGGAAAGATTCTGTATTGACAGACTGCCATCTACTGGATTTTACTATAATTTCAATACATATTACAGTAAATGCATACATGTATTTCCCTTCAATGACTGTGATTTACTGTAATTATGCCAGCTTTATGTGCACGTATCTAAAGTTTCAAAGACAGAAAGCTATTCTCTCAGCAGCTAATTTATTCTGCATTTGTGCTCCCCTTTCTTAGTGTGATCGTCAGAATTTGTTTTTGATTTTGAGACCTTAAAACGAGTATTTATCTTTTATTTTTTGTAGACATGCTTAAAAAATGCACCTAAAAAATTAGGAAAATAACTAAGTTGATTTTTCATACCGACTAAAGAGATGTATATGTGTTGTTAGATAACGTTCCATAATTTTTCTGCAACCTCTGCAGTTTGTTTTTAAAGGAGTCAACAAAGGAAACTCCATTAGTTTAGTGTAAAAAACAAACAAAAAACAAATCTATTAATAAAGCCTCCCAATATTTATTTAATGCTTGCATGTGACTCTACGAGGCTATATCAAATCAAAACTAATGGAAGCCAATTTACTTTAATGATGGGAGGTAATCGCCTCAGTCTCCTAGGTGAGTCATGGAGGGCAAATGGGGATACACAGCACCATCTTGTGGTTGTATCACAATGGGTGAAGGTTGGCATAACACCACCATCTGACTGAAAAATGGCCAAATATATACATTTAATAAATTAATTTGAAGTCAACATATATTTACTGACGACTCAAACAGCTAAAATAGCCTTTTTCCTTAAAGTTTGATACTAAGGCAGGTGTATATTAACATTTCTCTTTCATTCCTACTGGGGATTGTAATCAGATTAAGTATGCAGAGGTTTTAATTGAATGGATCATAACACTTGCTTTTGCCATGTAGACATTTACCATAAATATTTGCACTATGATATGGAATGCCGAATTATATAATTAATCATGTCAGCAAGCAATAACCAATGCTATTTTTGCTCCATCAGTCTTTATTTTTCTGTGTGCCTGCATGCACATGTGGTTGTATTTTTTTGTACTTAATAGCGAGATCTTATAATGTATTTCAAAAATGCACTGGAGCCATTACCTGTCACACGACTAATGAGTAGCCGGTGTGCAGTTAACGGTCATGAAATATGCACCAGACTTAAATACCTCATCCATAGTGCCTTGAGATAAATCCGTGCATTTCATTAAACACACACAGCGGCTCGGCTCTGCTGCAAAAATTATTCCTCTTTTGCAGAGGAAATAAAATTAATTTTCTACGCTTGTTTTCTTATAATCACAATAGCAGTGTAATGTTAAAGAATTAGCACTTGTATTATGACAAATTAGGGAAGGTTATACATTTGTGCCTCTGAACAACCCTGCTGATTCACAGAGCACACAGTGTAGAAGTATGTACTGTATTTAAGTGAGTAATTTGGAGGTTATCATAAGTTGTCCCTAATCATTTAATTTTTTTTTGTATTTTCCTGATCTACTATGGTCAGTACTTTGGTCTCTAATCCTGTCTGTTTGTGGCTTAGCAGAGATTCACCCTGGGAAACCCCTTGCTGCTATCTGACATAAAACAGATTTGATCCATTTTTCAGAGCATATCTGTCTTTTTCAGACTGGCGTTTTTCAAAAGAAATGTGTCAGCACTTTGGGGATTATGCTTTTTTTTTATTAATCACCAAAAGACACAACCTGCCCGACATTTCTTTGGTTCGACAGTGCAGTGCGCCGAGAAAAAGTCCTTTCCCATTTAGATGCTTATTTTGATCTCCTTTTATTCTCATTGTATTGGTACAATCAGATGTATTAACCATTAACTTCATGCTTGGCTGACTTACATGATTATCTCGTGCAAATGAAAAGTGATTTAGCAGAAAAAAGAGCAGAAGATGGACTAATTTCACAACCTTGTTCTACTGATGTTGAGCGAATAGACTCATCATCAGTCATCCAGATTTGCTCTTCTAAGAGTGAGCATGAGGTGTTGGCACGGTTTTCTCTGTTGGGGGTACGAACCATCTATCAAAGCATCCTGGAGGTGAATATTCGAGTAAACATTTTCCCTCTCAGTCCTGCCTCCTGATAGCACTTCCGCACAGTGTTCACAGAGGAAATCTAGAAAATCTAATTTATAATACACTGCATAATGGTTTCTAAACTAAATATACTGTAGTACATATGTTTAGAGGGCTTGGGCTCAGGCTTCACAGACAATTCTTACTCGTGTGGTGTGTGTGTGTGTGTTTGCTAACCGGCTGTTGTTGAGTGCACTCAAGTGTAAGAACACAACATGTGGGATGAGTGTGATGGATTCCTGGTATCGTTGGTAGTTATTTGTGGCGTGCCTATAACCACAATTCCCCAGCCACAGCTTATTGCAGGGTGAAGCTGAGCGAGATATACTCTGAGGCTGGCATAAAGCCACCGGACTTTGTAATAATTCATCAGCCAAAAGGCCTTCCATGTACTCACCGTGCAATATTTATACCCCGCTGAATGTATTTTCTCAGCTACATCATCGCACAGGCCCAGGGCAGGGATTTTCCCTTCTGAGAGCAGGTTTTAGTATTTCAGACCTTATTTAAATCTACTTAACAATTCTATGAATTTGTCCCATGATCACATTCTGTCTGCTTATAATGATGTATGTGGCTCCAGTGTCAGTGCCTGTTTTATCTAGTGTATTCATCTGAAACTAAAATAATAATTGTACGATTTCAATAATGCTGACAACAATAATTTGGGTACTACTTTTAAATGATTATTTACTAAAAGATGGATATCAGGCCAGAATGCCAGTGAGCTTGTTATGTGTCTTGTCTTTGTCCCTGTATGAGCTTGTTCTGATATTCTCTCTTAGTCTATCCGCAGTACCCCATTCAATCCAGTTTGAACTCTCAGCAGAGTTTATGTCTATTCTTTGTCTGATTTGTTCTTGATTAGCCCTTTCTTCGTCTTTGTTTCCATTTGCTTTTCTTTTTCTTTCTTCTTTGTTTGTGTTGTTTCATTACAAATTTATTTTCTCCTTCCTCAGAGAGGCTTCACATGAAATTTAAATGCTTCAAAATATGGTTAAAAAAATCTTCTCTAAAGCGGAGGAGTGCTGATGGAGACGAATTTTTTTTATTCAACACGTTCTTGCTAATGATGGTGCTTTCTTAAAGATGCAAGCCATTTACTGAAGCGCAAATATAAAATGATACTGTGTGCAATTTTATGAATAGATTATGTAAGATAATTATAACACACTAAAACCTTGATTAATATAATTTTCATTTGTGAGAAAGTTCTCCTTAAAAAATAAAGTTGAATGATTCAATCTTTGATTCTATTTTCTAAAGTTTACAAAAGTGGAAAAAAATTAATTGTTCATCAATGACTGAGTTAATAATACAAGTGGTAGTCAAAAGAGCTTTTCTGTTTAGCCTCCTCTTAATATTTATGTCCTCTTTAAAATTCACTGTCAACACTAACTTAACCAACTATTTTGATAATAAACAACTTTGTACTTTTTTATAATTAGCTTCAGATAGTGCCATGTGTTTCATTATGTCTGGTCCAATTCCACATCATAATTAGTCCCATAACTCTTTATATATAACTAAGTCTTAGTCCTAAAAGGCTAACTCTTTATACTCACATACAGACACGGTTTGAATTCTAGACTTTTAACTCATTTTGAAACTTCCAATGGGAGTTGATCAGTAACCTTGTGAGTGAGTTTCATCTTATTGTAATGTGAGCTCAAAGATCGAGTGTGAAACATTAAGAAGGATCTGTTGACAGAAATGGAATATAATATAAGGTATGTTTTCATTAGTGTATAATTACCTGGAAATAAGAATCATTGTGTTTTTATTACCTTAGAGCCATTTTATATAATTGTATATGCAGTAGTAGTAGTTTGTGCCTCTGGATTGTAATGGGAGGGTGAAACAAGTGAATTGCAATCTACAACTACACCGCTAGATGCTACTAAATCCTATACACCAGTCCTTTAAAGTCTAATAGATTAGTATGTCAGTGGTTTAGAGCATTGTTGTTTTACATATTTTCAGGTCCAAATGACAACAAATTGTGCTAATTATGGTTGTCAAAATCTTTTACCAGCTCCTCAATTCAAATGAATTGAAATTGATTAAAACTCATCATATATATTTGTATTTAATTATAAACTAAATAGTGGTTTATGGTTTTCAAAAATTGGTACAAAAAAATTTAACTTAAAACAATCTTTGCAAAATCTTTAAGTTAAATACATCTATTTACAAAATTCAACCTACAGTCATTTTATGCAATTAAATCTGAAAGATTGTCTTGTTTGGTTCAAAAAAGGCTCTCCCACACCATTCTGTAGTTGAAAATGCTGTTCCACTTTATTTTGAAAGCTGCTTTTCTCATATTAAAACCTTAAAGTGAAGAGAAATATGCTGCAGCTTATTTTGGAATTAAGCTCTTTTTTTCCCCTCAAGAATTAATGGGATAAAGTCATTACTAAATGAGCAACCACAAATTTTAGGTTTAATATGGAAAACCTTGCTTGAGGAAAAGAGCTGCCCTGTGGAATGTGTGGGTTGTTGAACTTGAAAGAACACTTACCAAGAAATGAGGCTTCTCTGTCGGGTTCATGCAGGTGCCAACATGCTGCCCGATGCTGTAGTATTACCTCGCCGACACACCACTGAAATTAATGCCCCCTTTGCCCCCACCTAGGAGATGAGAAAAAGTCATTAGAATAAGGTTTTCGTCCAAAACAACAGAAAAGAAAATATGAAATAAAGCATGGTTTAAAAAATACATACGTTAGGAATACAAACTGGAAAAACTGTAGTATGCCAAGTGAGTTTCTACTATTCTGTCGATAACAGCACCAAAATCAGCAAGCATCAACATACTGCTTGCCTGAGAGGCTTAGTCCATCAATTGAAAGCAAATAAATCAGTGGATGAAATGCATTTCTAATATTAGCATGTTTTTCATGGACTATTTTCAACAATGCACTTTGCATTATTTACTGTTGCAGAGAGCAGGCAAAAGGGATACTTATGGGAGAAGCACAAACAAACATGTCAGATTTGATACGTTCAATTTCTCTTTTTTTTACGTTTATTGTGGTGCATTGTGTCTCTCAAGCAACCAGCTTTCTTTACCCACTCTTTTGATATTTCAGTGTGAGTATAAGAGGACCAAAGCTAGAAAATGTAACTCAGAAAACTGTGCCCACTTTAACCTCGCTCCATTTTCATATTACTGTCATTTGGCATATTTGTCTGTCGTACCAAAGATGTCTCAGCGGTAGGCAGGGTAAACCTACTTTAGCTATATGAATTCACTGCAAGTCTGAACATTGAAATGAACCTAACTGTTCTTTTTCTACTCATATTTGCAATAAAAACCTCAAATATAGTGCCCTTTAAGTAAAATCCAAGCTCAAAGTAATCATCCAAGGTCAATCTAAAAGACTCCACTTTGTATCTCGGTGGCATCCCCTTAGTGTTATTAGAAAAATATCCTTAGCGTTTTTCAACTCACGAGGCTGTATTTGCATAGAATTAACCTCTCAAAAGACATATTAAAGACGGGCCTAAATCTGACATGCCTTTGGAATAGCTTATGTGCATTTGCATAACGTTTGCCTCCTGTGCAGGTGATAAAGCAGGATTAAGCCTGGATTACAGTATTTGATTTTGTTTGTGTGCGCGTGTGTGCCTGTGTCTGTGTGTGTACATACAGTGAATATATACTTAGCTGTGTACCAGAATATGTGCAAACTGGAATCTGTTTTAGCTATTTTGGCATGCCTCCCCATAGCCAGCAGGGCCAAACAGAACAGTGTGCTATGCCTGACTGCCATGTTACTCATGTGACCTCATGAAAGTACAAGTCCCTTCAAGCGGTATAATAAATCATTGGAGCCGGGGCTGGCCCACAACACATGCTTAGCTGCACAAACACACACACATACACACACCTTTTGCTGGCCATAACATAATATATCAAATTTAAGAAGTATGGAAACACAATCATACTGGGTACCCTGACCCTTTGAGGTAATAAGATGGACCAGTAGTCAGTCAGGTCATACCACAAATCTCAGTGGAAGGCCTACTGTTAAACCGATGGATGAACAAAATATACTTTACATAATATAGAACTATCTTAACATTAAGAGCCATAATTCAACACAGCAGTAATGCTTTATGGTTTATGGCACTCCACCTTTTTCCCAATTATAAATTGTCTTTGATGTAAAAAGACAGCATTTTTCACCATTAACAGGTCACTTCTCATTTGTTGTAAGCAGTTTTGTGAAGCAGACTTTGAAAAGTTTTTTGGCTGCTGCTATTCTAAACCAGGTCACATGCTACTGCTGCGAATTCTGCTTTATATAACACAACTCCATCTGACAGGGGTAAGGCACCTACGTACCCATTGTTCTCAGTAAAATGCACTCCAACATGATTTAACAAGTGTTTTTAAGACTTTCTTTCTGAGAAGAAACAGTAGATTCAATTTAAATTTAATGCCTTAATGGTTCTTGAACAGGACATTCAAATGGCCTCCAACAGACTACGCAATAGTGACAATTTTGCCGCTGTCATTTACAATACTTCAGGCCCAAAGTTAGTCTAACTGACTTGTCTGTACTTAACTGTTTTTGTCTTGCCTTTCCGCTAAAGCTACACTTGTCGCTGTCATCTTTAATTTAAATCACTCTACCACCTGAGCCTCCAACAGATTTTCGCAAATCTTCACAGTAATTGCTGCAAGGGACAAGAGGGCATCATATGTGTGAAATGCTCTGAGTGAAAAGCATCATTGCCTCATAGCGTTTACACACACCCATTTAACACACTTAGGAATATATTTGAGGCTGCCGGAAAGAATAAGAAATAAAAGTGACTGCCGTGTCCCAATAACAAGACACTTGGTCAGAACAGCCGTGCTATAATTTGCTCTCAAAATAGCACACAGCAAAACTTTCCTTGCAGGTGCATTTGATAAGTTCATTGAAAATCCTATAGACATGTAGAGGAATGTTGTAGCATATGCTGGCCTCTGCCCAGGGAGCAGTAGCAACACAAATGCTCCAATTACAGCTGCACCCGCAATTCCCTTGAGGGGAACCACAGCAATACTCATTGATCTGAAAAACAGCACTGTGATAGAGGGCAACTCCATGCTGGTTCCAAAGGACATGAACTGTACTTTTAATTATCCTAACTAGAACAATGTTATGATAATGATGATAACGATGAGTTATTCCTAGAGGTAATCTGTTTAATTTGAGGTTTATTGCAGTATAGTTGAGCATTTGAAGCAGTGAACATGTGAGCTCAGTGTGAAGTACTACTGTACTCTATATGTGACAATACAGCAGAAGGCAAATGTATTACATTCTTGTGACAAAATTATTTTTTATTATTCTGGATATTCTGTTTTTTTATTTGGGTCACCTACTGAAACTAGCTTTTTTATGGCTTTTCTCAAGAAACCTCCTGTTGTAGTTCCTCTGTGTTTGCATGTCTTTCAACCTCCACAATGTGCTAAAAGCACCTGTCAGTCCTGTATTGAAATGCTGTGAGACGTGTGATGGTTGTCATCTATACAGTCTTAATGTGAAAACAGATCCTCCTCTACAAACAGTGGAGGACCAGCAGTTTAGATTCCTGTACTCCAGAGGGCACCATTAGCATGCTTTATGTGTGTCATTATGCTACACAAAGCAATACTAAAGATATTTCAAGCAATTAAGCATTAGTCTATAGCAGCTAACCAGCATCACTGGTAATGATCTGTAAATGTCTATGAAAAAAGGGCTGGTGAAATGTTTAAAAATGTGATCAGGACAAACTGTAAATACAGCTAGAGAAAAGGCAATTTATTGTTCTACAAAATGTCCAGGTCCAAAAAGGAAATCAAACTTAACCTGTTTGCCAAGCTTGAGTATTATTTCACATCTGATAATAAAAGTCAGGCAGTCACAAAACCTGTTTACTGTGACCGAACAATAGATCATGTGAGGACATGTATTCTTGCCATAAATGCATCTATACTAACAACATTTAGTTGTTTGACCCTTGATTTGATTTCTATGGGTTGACATTATTAAATTGATGATCTTTGTGAGTGCATTGACATTTGAACATTGAAAACAGGATTTCGGTCACTGGTGATTGTCATAGATGGAGTGTTTTATTAAATAATACAATTTCATGGAAGTTTTTTTTTTTCTGGATTACAAAATGTGGATCTTACCTGTTTGGAATAATCTATTGCGATTGCTGCCTCGGACCAGAGTGATGAAAGAAGTGAACTCTTCAGAATTTCCCTGGAGGGAAAGAGGGATAGAAAGATCAGGATATGTCATGCTTTAGCATATTGTTGCATTGTCCATTCACAACTAAACACTTTGATCACTGCACTGTTGATCAATGCAAAGTTTGCCTAGATAATAAAATACTCAAATGTATGGAGAGGAGCACAAACCAACATACACTGTAGCCACTGTGCACTGCGTTATCAACATAGTCCCATTAGGTTTTGTTAACATGCTTCATGTACTTTGAGGTGGTGATTTTCCATCGTGCATAATGAGAGCTGCTAAAAATAGACTCCTGCCTGAACGCTGACAGTGTCTCCACCACATACTGAAGACAGGATAGCAGGATGTTTGGTTATGTCTGCTTGTAAGTAATAATTTCTGACAGTGACTCACTCTCATACACCCTTAGTTGTGTGCAAGTATGCATGAATATGCGCGTGATGCACACACACTGATGCACAACCACGCCCAGCGATAACCATACGGTACACATACATGCAAACTTAATTGAGTTTGTCAACCACTGGGGTTCAGATTGATGACTGGAAAATAATAGGGTGTCAAGGGACCCTAAATTATGTCCAAAGAGCATAGAGGTCCTCCTCATTCTTAAAACACACAGACACATACATATCAACATTCTCCCATACATTTCCAAGACCAAGCTTGCCTCAATAAAGGAAGAAGAGCACCTGCTGACTAACCTAAAACTTCACAGTGGCACTGATGATTGACAGATCTCTGCCTGTGTTTGTCTTGCATGACAATGACAGTGATAATTGGATGTTGGACACCATGGCACACACTACCTATCCTATCTGCTGTCCCCATGCGTTATTCTGCATCTTCAAAGGACTACAAACATGAATCAAGCTTGACTTTTTGCATCTGTAATCCTACTTCACTTTTTTTTTCTACTTTGCCGAAGCACTTGATATGCAAAAATCATATGTTTACTTTCGAGATCAAAGTTTCTTTCTCCCACCCCTTCTTCATTTTCCCCATCTAAAAATGGACTCCTTTCATTATGCAAGCCAACAAAGAGCAGTGCCTGCTCACGCAGCCCATTCCAAGCATACTGATTAATTAGCCTGTATAATTAGCTTAATGATTTAGAGAAACATGGCCATGGCCACCCAAGAAGCTATGCTAATGGACCCTGTCTATAGCAATTAAAATGCCCATAATTTAACAATGGTGGCCTAAAAGTCCAGATAACTGCTGTGAAAAAAGTAGTTGGTGCAGTCATTGTTGTAGCATCATATTTTCTGCTGTTGTGTTAATGAACACTGTTGCACTTATCTCATTGTGAGATTGTGTTGCAAGTCATGTGTTTGTATTGAATAATATTTTCCAGAAGTATAGCCACCACTGGAAGACTGAGAGCTAATGAAGTGTTCGTATTTCTCACTATGACGATTAACTTTAGCGCTTTTAGCGGCACACTTGGTGCACTTAGACCTCAAATTAGACTTGAAATGTGATGTAAGATGCTGAAAGTGTGAAACCAGCTTTTAGTGTCACATGGAGCAAAGTTATCTTCCATCTATCTTATTATGCCATTTCTATACTGTACATTTTCAGTCAGCTAGTTATGCTAACTCTTTCTCTGTGTGAGCACATCCTGTAAAGTGCATGAGTTAGGACATGCAGTTGTGGACTTTACAGTTTCTATTAAATGTGAGTCAAAGCAGGCAGTAGCTCTGCTCTCTGACAGTAGCATCAGCATTCCAAGCTACACTTCAGACATAAATCGCCCATTTATGACCTTCCCCTGAACAGTAACCAACAGAGACACCAACTCGACTCATAAAACCACCAGAATGGTGAGGTGGAGGTGAAGATATTACTTATCCATGCATGACTTCTGAAACGCCAGTCAAGTGGGAGTAGTTATAAAAAATCTAATCCTTATTTGTTTATTTTTTTTAGTGGTCTGATTGAATGCTGGGAAGATCACACCCAGTCATAAATGACTGGTAATTTACAATACACTTTGCTGCTGACAAAGCATAGAAATTATGGCGCCTTGGGGCTTGTATAAACAGAACAGGAAATGGACTGTGGTAAAAAGGGTTAGTTCAATGTTTATTGCAAGACCAATGTAAAACCAGCTTCAAACCTGGAACAAAAAGAGGCAATTTGATACTGTTCAGTTACAGATAGAGCTTGCAGTTGAATACTAAATACTAAATGCTACTTCAGTTGTCCATTGAATATACTTATGTCATATTGTGACACAAGAGTACCTAACTTGAATGTAAATCACATAACTGACTAACCCGATAACACACATCATACTGAACCCGATATTCTTTATGACAAAACCATTAAACTAAAGCTAAAATATTTAATTAAGACTGGGTGCTATGGCTGAAAGTATAAACCATATAAAGTTGATATGGCTAAGTGGTAATCAAGCAGTTGATCTTTTACACATCCAGCAGTCAAAAGGAAACAGAAAGAAAAGCATTTATTCTGAATAATTTTTCTGGCCATCCGACAAATGAAAGTCCAATTTTCACAATGCTAAATGCTCCACTGTATATTCAGCAGCTGAATTTTTTAACTTTGTCTGCCTGCACTTTGGTTCTGGGCAGCTATTGCCCAGTGCGTTTAGCCACTGAAAACAGCTGCCTACCTGCTGCAACTGCAAATTAGGTTGATGAGAGTGGTGACAGTAAACCAAAACAGTAAAGTTGTGGGTCATAAAACCTTAACAATGAGCTGAAATATGCTAAATCGCTCTGTAGAGCTGAGGGAATCTGCAAAGTCAGGTGCTAATTCACTGCGGGTTCATCCCTACAAGGGACACCTTTCACAGTACACATACACTGTAGTCATTAGACCCGTTGTTCACATAAAAATAGTGATTAGAACAGCTGTAACAACAATTGTGCCATTGATTGTAATTATTGCTTGAATAAAGTTTGCACATTTGTTAGCTTTACTATAGTGAAACCGTTTAAAGCAGTAAAAAAAGAGGAATAGACTTCATTTCAGCACTGACACAGCATGGCATAAAAACAGTGAGGCTCCCATCTGTTAAATAATTTCTAAGAACACGATCGAAGAGGAGAAACAAAACTCTCAAGACATAACGCAGCCGCTAAGTATGGATCGGCTTCTACTCTGGCTTTACCCTCCTCCTTGTTTAAAGTTTGCAACTCTAGTTACAAGTTATTAAAGTAATATGATTCATCAAAATTAAACACTATATACTGTATCATTCCAAAACTGATTACTAAATTGCACTGCCATTTCCACATTGTTTCAGCACTTCTAATACATTCCATATGCCATCTCCCTGAAAGCCTCTTTGATGAAACAATGTAAGGCAAATGTGTCATTAGGATTCGCAGCACTCCCAAACACACTAATTGCCACACGGATTTGATAACAGTCTGTTTGCGTCTGTGTCTGCATGTTGCCAGCAGGTGCAATGCTATTCACTTGTGTGAGCTGAACATCACAGTCCCGAGTTTGACACCATTGTGTCAAAAACTCTGTGCTCAGCTCGTCAGCTCTGGTGCGCTGTGCCCAAACAAGCCAGCTAAAAATGAGCATTTGGGAAGTGATCTGCCTTTCGCTTCCCCCTCTCTCTCTGTACCAACAGCTGCCTCAGTGGCACCGGGTAGCGTCACTGTCAGACGTAGATGGAATTAGTTATATAGTACATCGTATGTCTATTCAGAATTGGCGTCATGCAACCAAAAAAAGATACGCTTTGGGTGGCAGGAGTTTTGATATTTTAGACATATTTGCATACATTAGCGATGTTGACGGGATACCACATTTGCCATGTGAGCTGTCTCAGTGAGAAATGTTCCCATCCACACTCAAAGATACAAATTCTAAAAATCACTTTTTGAAGCAGCAACTTTTACTTATGAGTTATGTGCATAGTTGGTGTGAAAAATGGGCATGTGTTGGTGCTTTATTTATAAAAGTAGCAGTTGGCGTCACTCCTCTCCTTAATGTAATTGCTAATCCTTTTATAAATAGCCGCATTTTTTATCCTCAGGCAAGTTTTGTCCTCTGCACACAAGTACTGTATACAGTTCTGAAGCAAACTGAATTTTATATCCATCCTTCTCTTATATTGAAGAATGTGGCAGGCTGCTGATGTCGTTGCGAATAATAGGTGAGTACAGACTTGCACTGCACCTTCTCCTTGTCTGCAGTCAAAGCCCTCTTATCAGCAGAGTTTCCTATCACGCCGGAAACTTTCCATCATGCTGAAACTGCTCCTCCCCAAAGGCTATCATAATCTGCTCAGCATGCATAATGTTAATCGTTCAAATATCTCATCAACACAACAGGATAAGCATGCTGTCAGTGCAAAGATGGGAGTGAGTGAGAGTGCGTTGTAGACAGAAAGCAAGAGGAGGTACAGTTTAAAAGGAGAAAGGGTTTAGGTGATGAAGAGACAAAAAGGGTAAAGGGTGAGAGATCAGATGAGATGATGAAACTGAGTATGAAACAGGAAGATGCAGCGAGGAAGAACAGGAAGAGGGAAAACACATTAAGGCTAAAGTGGGAGAATTATATGAAGAGAAAGGATAGGAGGGTAGCTCCATCTGCTTTTGGCACTGCTAGGAAACTCTATGCCACTGTATTCTGTCCCTTTTTCCAGTCAGCTTCGGAGAAGATGATAGCATTGATCATCTTCTTAAAAGACCGCTTTTCCTGTCACCGTATCACCTCACGTCATTAAGATGACTGGTTGAGTTGCCTTAAAAGGTTTCTCTTATGCCTGGCAAAGCTGCAAGCTGTTAGATTGTCTTCCACATTCTCGCCTCCCTTCATTTGGTGAGACTGCTGACAAACCTAAGAATGCTTAAGCCTCCGTTATTTTGATTTTCAGCAATCGGCTCTGTTATTAGATCAGATTTAAATGAAAAGGGTGAGAGGGGGCGGAGTCAGGGAACGAAATCAACTCAAAGTTGTACTGCATTGTGACCCATCCAAAGTCAGTGGATATATATTCGCAGACATATTAACAT